TTAGACTAAGGCTGCCTGATGAAATTGTTTGATGGCTGCATGATGAAATTGTTTGCATTCTGTGCGTGTTTTTTGTTCTGTGAAGCCTCATGTTTACTGAAAAATAGAAAACTATTAATTTCTTGAGAAGTCCAGTTTTATTTTTATTCATTGACTAAATAAAAAAGAACTAAATAAAAAGAACTTTTTACCTAGAGAAAAATCCACATCTCAGTCACACTTCAGTACTGTTAATTTGATTTCTTGTAATTTTTTTCCTTGTAATGTCTTACAAATAACTAATACACTTACGTAAATCAGACAGAGGCTCTCCACTCAGTTTGAACTTTGTGTACATACATATTCAGAGAGGAACAAAGAGTGCCAAGATGAATTCATTCAGCTTAATTTGCTACCCCATACTCTTATAATGAGCGAGTTATCACTATGTTTTTTGCAATTAGTGTGTTTTAATAGTGCTGTCTAAGTATAGGTTATTAGTCCAATTGCTTTGGGAAGAGTTTTATGAGTACTTCTGATCATTTAAGAACCATGAGTCTTTTGAAAAGGAACACACTGTTACATGAAAAAATTGATGTGCAGAGTACCCAATTAATCTATTTGGACTTTTTGGGTTGGTGGTTTCTTACATGATTTTTTGGGTTCTTTTTTCCTTTTTACAATATGACATATAAAATCCAACTACAAACTCTGGTAGAAAGCAAGAAGGGAACTAATTTTAATGATGCTTTAATGTATATGTTTCCCTGGGGAGGAACCCAGAGAATTAGCTGAAGTTCTACTCAATCAGAGTAGAGTTCTGTTTTCTTCTGCAGCTTATGACTTTGGGTTACTTCAATAAGTGCAAACTGAGAAAATTTCTAAATGGTCTTGGTTTTCTGAAGCGGCAGAAATCCCTGACCTTTACCCAGGTATAACTGCAGTTGATAAAACCTGCTTCTCAGAAAAGGGCTCCAGATCATTCAGAGTTGAAGGTAAGTATTCAACCACTAAGCTCTAAACTTTATCAGGTCTACAGATGAAAAAAAAGCTATACAGAAGATGAATGTTCATGATTTACATCATCCATGAAGGCCACCAGATACAAAAAGCAAAATGGAACATTAAATTACTCAGCAAATGGTAAAAAAAAAAAAAAAAAAAAAAAAAAAGAATCAATTAGGCCTAAGTATGGAATCAAGCTGCTCAGTCCATTCTCTTCCTCAAACCATTCTTGCTGATGGCTTTTTATGGGTCCTGGTCTCTTCTGTTATCTATCATCTGTCTACTCCCACTCATAGTGATCCTGCTGTGCTGTGTTAACTCCAATACAGCATCGCTATCTGGATCATATTTAGCTGGATAAAATGGAGATTCATCTGTCTAAACCCTTCTGTCAAAATGCAAGGTGGATGATTGCACACTGACAGCCTGATTTACCTTCAGCCCCTGCAGAGCCTAGAATGGGAACTAGGGGAATACTGAGAAGACAATGTGCTAACAACCCACGTTAGATGTACTGAAGAGGCCTCAACAGTGGACAGATACTCCTGTGTCTCATTACAGAGTAATTCCAGCACTGCCTCAGCAACATCTGGTTCTGACATCAGTAGAGAAATTATATAGGTGTAAATGTTGTGCTGATCTATACCAGACGAGAAACTTGTACACCCTTCAGATACTGCAAGATGAAAGTTTCAACTGGCTTCTATTAGTAACAGCACTGCATGCCTACTTACACATGTACTTTATAGATTATGAACTTTTCACTGTAGGTGTGATCTCTCACTACCTAACACATGCTGATCTCAGTGCCTTAGAGTTGTAAGGGGAAGGACCTTACAACTTATTTTGTACGTTGCTAACTCCTAGCTGTGACCCTGCCAGCCTTACAGATGCCAGTGAATAGGCTTGAGTATGACAACCCACCACACCTTTGTACAGAAGGCCCATCCCAAGGACAAGCTAACCCAGCAGAAGATGTCTGTAATCAATGGGTGTGAGGTCAGTCATTCTCATTTCTTCATTATTTTTTTCTCTGTTTGGCTCTAAACAGATTCTCAGTGCTTGGCTTCTGGGGATTCTGGCACAGCCAATACTTTTATTCACTGCTTGTATTTTAGTGTATTTCAGATTTCTTTTTTTTTTCCAAGCAAATAAGAATCTGAGTATGGTATATGCAACAACTTCTAGCTAGGGATATAAAATACCTTTTAAACACTAAGCAATCTGTGCATTGATCACATAATGAATATATTCAGCCTTAATCCCAACTACTAGAGGTCAGTGGTAAAAATATGATACCTATTTCACAGGAGAATCTTTGGCAAGAATCCACCAACCCTAGAAAAGAACAGTTACAGGTTTTGTTTTTTCTCACCTTATGAGTCCATAGCAGAAGTAGAACACATCCCAAAGTCATGAGAGCCAGCTTTTTTTACTCTATACTTTAGATCTCATCACTACCATTCTTTTATCTCCTTATGCAGTTACTGTTCACATACTAAGTAGCATCCGTGTATCTGGAGTGGGGGGGAAGAAGATACCTACACATAGCTACCAAACAGTTTGATATGAGCATGTCCCAGGGCACTAAAGTTGAAAAAGCATCTGATGAATTAAAAGATGCAATATTAATAATATATAAATACAGAAAAAGTACCAAGAAAGCTTGGAGCACATGCTGGATAGCAGATTCTGCTGATCCTGACCTCTTCAAATTACTCTCAAAGGTCTTCAGATTATATTCAATATTATAACTTCAAAACTAAGGTTAGCACATATTATCTTAACAAATAAATAATGTTAAGAGGGTCCCCATAACACATGTGGCTGTTCGGGGGCACATGGTAGGATTTTACTACATTGCATACATAAGCCATGTTAAGATTAAACAATATTAAGAAGATAAATTTATCAATCAAGGACTATAAGAACTGATGGGTATTTTTTCCTTTTTTTTTAGCCTGCAGTTAGCCCTCAAAGTGGAGCATCAGAGTATTTTTATTCCTAAAACTGAAATAAGAAATTACTACAAAATTTAATTTCAGCTGGTATATAGCTAATTATTAGCATCAAACTTTTTACAGTTTATGTCACTAAACACAGGGAACAGTTTTTGTAAGTGGAAGCATTACAGAAGCTCAATTTTTAATCATCACAAAAGCAAAGAACTGCAACAAAATTGCAATAGCTGACACTTCTTTTCAGCTGTGCTTACATTTAGTGTAAGACAAAATACATATCCTGAAAGAAAACATTACACACACTCCTTTTGGGATTCAGCTGGTTTTGTTACTTTCTTGATTAAAAACAATTAAATCTGCATTCTGTATGTTTTTAAAATTATAGGTGAAACTTTGCTCCTTTACACTGAGTACAGAGGCAAGGCCAAGGTTTACTCAGCCATGGCCAACTGATGCACTGCTTATAATCAGATGCTAAAAAGAACAGATTTGCTATTTTATTTACCCTTATGCTGCCCCTTTATCATACAAATACTAAACATTTATATAGTTAGAAGAACAAGACAATGTTTAGATCTAGTTTCTGAGCTAATCTGACAAATAATCATAAATTCTGAGATGCAAAATAAATCACTTAAGTAGGACTCCAGATCACTGTTTTTTCCTGACCTAGTCTGGGATGGAAACAGCAAAGACTGCCATTAGAAATTATAGTACTCAATAATGCTTGCCAGCTCAGTAGCTGATGGCAGTAACGCTGCATCAGTGATTGCTTGGAAAAAAAAGCCCTGTACAATTAAAAAAAAAACATCATCTCCAACTGCACGAAAAAGCAAGGAGTTTCTTAAAAGTAAATTCAAGCGCTGAAATCTGGCAGTCTTCTGTTTTCAAGATGCTTCTCAGTGCTCAACAGAGAATGATGACATCTGCAATTTGTTTGATTACTTCTTCTGATCATTTATTCACTGCAAGATATGGGCTTGATCATCTCCACATTATCGTCTTAGCAGTGTTCATGGGATCAGACCATTTTCTCTGATACAGTAGATCTCATCACCATAAAATTAAAACTTCTGAAGACTTTGCAGTATTGTTTTGGCACTCTGTCAGAATAACTCCTGCTGTCATCCTGCTTAGGAGACTTGACTCGAAGTAAAATTATTGCTGGGCAAGGGCCTGCAGTGCTACAAATTAGGTCATTAATTGTAAAGTAAGTTCAAATCCTATGATTTGGCAAAGACAGTTTTGGATAATTAGGCTCAGTGCAGTTTTGGAGTCTCCTTTTTTAGGAACATATCATGAATCATATTGTTAAGCATAAAATGCTGCCTTTTATCTACACTGATTTTAGAAATATATTTCTTGGTATTCTGTAAAGATGCTGCAGCTTTACTGAGTTGATTCCAGAGAACCTCATAAAAAATTAGGTGCAGAGTCGGATGCTACATTCATTCTTAAAATGGTCACTGACTAAGTTTTCGCATTTTGAAAATATAACTATGTCTTTTAATCTAAGGTGAATATATGTTAATTTTCTAATAATTTTTCACATTATATGATATGCATATATGTAGATTTCTGCAAAATAGCAGTCTTGGATTTAAAGAACATCTCCAAGATTACCTGTGTCTGAACCTCTTTAATTTGTCTAGTCACTTAAGCATAACAGAACACAGAATGGAGCTCATAAATTCCATTCTTTATATATTTATACACCAATCCATTTACAGGCTCCCTGTTGAAAACATCAGTCATCTCATGACAGCCTCAACAAACAACCGACGTTACATTTAACGCCAAGTACTCAAAAACTAAACAGATGCAAATGCAGTGATGCAAACACACTACTGTTTCTCAGAAAGTTTAGGCACAACATGAAAGGTAAATCTAAAAATGCTTTTGTATGACTACATTTCATATACTCTTCTTGGCCTACATGTACGCTTAATTTAAGATATTTGCCTCTGATCCTTACGTGATTAGAGAATATGCAAGATTATTATTACAGTATATGTGGAATATAAGTACCACTGCACTGTTACTGGAAGTTTGTACACTCTCAGTTCTGTAGACACCTGAGAAGTTTCAGTGAAATGGCTCAGCAAAGAACAACTTCAGGACTTTTCTGTTGGAGGTGAAGAAAAAAAAAAGGATAAATGGTACATCCCAATTGTGTTTCCTCTTCCTTTGTCAGTCAGCCCCATATCATTCAGAAAAATGGATAATTCTGTGTGATTTAGACCATTTACACTGCAACAACATCTCACAGACATCTACCACTACATAAAGAAACAATGAAGTATTATAAAGCCTGTAATTCAGCAACCAAACATTTGGGGGTTTGGGGATGGGGGAAGTGTTCAAAATTCACATCCAACAGAAAAGAACAAAGTAAATTAAATTCACTTTCTTATACCAAGAGTTTATACAGCCCAATAGCAAGATTCTGTAGCCGGTCCCCCTTGAGACTTTCAGCTGTTTTCACAGGTGTGGAGTAAAACACACATCATAAAGAGTACACACATAAAACGAGGCCAAAGGAATAATCTATCAGTTGCTCAGTGGCTTGTTCTGATATATGATTGATAAAAAGCAGGACAAAACAGGTTATAAAAGCAGCATAGAAGAACTGAATTTTCTTCACAAAAAAAATGTGGGCGCTCTTGGTTCTCGTAGGTGCTGCAGCTGTTTCTGCTGACCTGCAGGATCTTGCCTTTGATAGGTAAGAACAGACATCAGGTTTTATATCTGCACAAATTCTTTTGCATGAGCAAAAGCCTTTCAATTGACTTACCTGTTTCAATTCCAATCTTCTTCTCTCCTTTCAGGCAAAAGGTGTTTCGTGTGATTCTGCAGAATGATGAGCAGGTGGAAATCATCAAATCCCTTAGCAACAACATGCAGGTAAAGAACATGGGCTATATTGTATTTGAAATGAACGTTTCTCCTTTTGTTCAACTAACATATATCTTAGCAAAAAAAAAAAACGAAACCATGCTACTGAGTTAAAGACCTAATCTTGATACCATTCAAGTCAGCTGAAGTGTTTATTCAGAAAGAATAGGACAAGGTAATAAAGCTAGAGCAGTACAAATACATTCCAATACCTTCCTAGAAAGCCTGGTGACCCCAGTCCAAACATCAAAGTGTCCACCATAATTTATTAATAGAATAAGTTAATCTGAAAAGCTGTGTTCAGTGTGGAGTGTTGTCAAGAACACATTAGATAAAACATGGAAATTCCAACTACCAGAACTTTTACCATTACGGGCAAAACATTTTGCTCATGTAAATAATATAAAAATCCCTACTCCCAACAAATTATCTTTTCTTTGACCTCTAGTCTCTCATGTCATCTTTTCTTCTCTGACTTTCCATTAAAGCTTCCTTTCTCTCCAACCAAGTTGCATCTTTCTTACTGACCTTGAAGTAAATATATGATGACACAATGACATGAGAAAAACAATAAAGACAGCAAATGTGTTTTCAATATTTCTCCTCAGCTTTGATGTTGCAAAATAGCTGTTGGTGAAAAAGACACCATTATCTGTAGGATAAAAAGATGGTATTTTTAACGAAGTACAGATGTGGAGAACTATCATCAACAGGCTAGTACAGCATGCTGGAAGAGTATTCTGCAGAAGTATATACTATTGCAATGATGCTGCCAATATTAAGAAAATTAATATACCATGCTGGCTTTTAAGTGTGTATATAAAGGGATTGTTTGTTTTCTTTTAAGCAAAGAAAGGATCTTTGAACTACCATTGTTACACAAAGCAATCAGTCAGGACTGATGTAGTAGTATATCCTGGAAGAGCCATCTCACTCAAAGACACATAGTTCATGAATATGCCCAGCGGCCCCAATTTTCTTTGCACTCACTAGATGAAAGGCTGAAAAGTCATTAGGTTGGCAAGCCAGCTTTGCTTTCATTGGCCTTTAATAAGGCACTAAATCCTGAGGTCTGGAAGCCGACTTCAGCAAAAATACGTCAAATAGTAATAGCACTGTCATTTTCCCACCCAGAACTAAATACTTTCCAAAGATACAGGTTCCTCATACCGACTTTAGTGAATTGAGTCTTATAGGCATTCATGCAGACAACAGTCTTTCACAGCTGATTTATGTAAAATATTCACGTAGCATCCCTCTGCTACTGAGTAAGGAGCCCACTTTTGTCTAATGCTTATATGCAAAACCTCCAAAGAAATCTGTCCAAAGAATGAAAGAAGCTGTAAAGATAGTTATACTCACAAGTCTGTATGCACTCTGATGCTACAGAATACTTCCCATTTGTGAAACTGTCACTGCCATTTGCAGAACTCTGCCACATAAATTGCAGGGCCTAATAAAATCTTCTTAATCTATTTCCAGTTAAAATTTAGGTTGGTGTTTTTGGCAAGCAAGGTTAGGTCAGTGTAACAGGATATGAATGAAATTCAGTAGATTAATCATAGTCAACATCACCATCACACATATGCCCACCTAAAAATAACAGTCATATGTATGTATTTATTTGTTTATGTATTCTTTTGGTCTTCTTTCAGGTTGACTTTTGGCAGCCAGACTCTGTCACACTGGTAAGGCCAAAAATGCAAGTGGATTTCCGAGTTGAAGCTGACAAGTCTTTTGAGGTTGAAGATCTTTTGCAAGAAAATGGAGTGGAGTACAGGTATGTTTGTTCTCACTACCGTATTTTAAGTAGAAGGAAATTAAATACTGGGGAAAATGTGTTTGATCTTTTCATGTTGGTCAGCTTATCTCCCTGTCACAGACTTCATCGCACCTGCGGATGCTTCTTCTGGGTTCAGCTTTCCCACAGCTGTTCAAATGAACTGTACCTGCTCTGCTTAAGGGGTGAGGTGAAATGTTGGCAGACGTAACAGAGAGGAAGCAAAGACTTACTACCAGGAATTTCCCGGAGGTGAAAGCTCATTGTGGTACACAAAGCTGGACTAAAGGAGGGAAAAAGGAAGATTTCTCACTAAAGACAAAATGCAGCAAAGGTCTAGAAAGAGCCAGAAAGTGCACCAGGTAGCTTTGCATGATAGTATCAGGGAACTGAAGCCAGAAAATGATGAGCCCCAGGGACCATAATGAGGGGATCCCCACTGAGTTCTCTAGGCTGCAGAACAACAGCTAGAGGGGCAAAAAAAAACCCAACTTGTGACAAAGAGAAGACAGCTACCAGGTGAAGAACTAAGACAGTGGGGAGAACAGATTCCCAGGACAGCCTTGGGCTCACTCAAGCAGATACATGGCAAGGATTCTCCAGTGAGAGATCTCTTAATTGGCTTAAATATTTCACAAGTATATTACCCAGAAGTAAAAGAGCTCTGAGTTTCTGTGACTGAATACAACTGTAGCCTAAGTGGAGGAAATAGATCACACTGCTGCATTAAACACCCCTGAGAACAGAAGCATTGTAGTGAGCAGCACTAATTAGAACATAAGGAGAAAAGAGCAGGACCAGCCAACTGCTTCTACTTCATGTCTTCCAATTAAGCTTTAACCATAGATTAGAAGTTGACTTTGGGCTGAAGTGGAGGGGAGTTGTCTGTCTTCATTCTTCTTTTAGCTCTACCTGAGCATTGCAGATTGGCTCAGCCCAGCTTGATTATCAGGCTTCTTCAATGGGTAATGGATATTTTGTCAATGTCATGTATTCAGACACTGAAAGTCAGTGTTACGTGATCAAATTCTCATGACTTCATTTGGCTGAATGGAGAGTTTTTGTCTCTCAGCTCCACTGTTGTTGCCACTAGACCAAACTCCTTCACTGTACACAACACAGTTTTCATGAAACATGGCTTTTACAGTCTGCTAAATCTGAGGATAATCCATCCCTAAGCTTACTGGCCTCATGTTAACCATGTCTTATTTGGATGCCACTGGGGGAACGGAATCTAAAAACACTCTAGAAGAAATAATTTTTAATAATATCACATCCCACATACAGCACAGGAATCCAGTTTTGGTGGAATTTCCTTTTTGGCTAAGGAGGAGTTACTGCACATTTGTTAGTTTTTCCTGTAATATTCATGAACTCCCTCAGGTCCATGCACAAATCTTTTGATTGCAACAAAGGCCATAATGTCTGGAAGGCGTCCCTGACAAATCTGAGTGGAGCGTCCTTGTGACAACCCAAGCTGTTACAATTCTTTTGAAGTGCAGCTGCAGTGCCATGACATCATGTCAATGTAGTCATCTGCACTGTTTGTTCTGAAGGCTGGTGGTGTCTCTCAAACTGGCCTCCTGCTCTTGCTTCTATCCAAATCACAAGTGATCAAGGACATATCCTGGATCAGTAAGATTTGTAAAAATGTTAAGACAAGCACTGGAAAAACAAGAGGACTTCATTTTTTTGATAGCCAAGGTTGAAATATAAGCAAAAGGTCATCAAGAGTACGCTCAACAATGAGCTGTGCCTTTGTGTCAGCCCCAGAGAAAAATGAACAGTAGAGTTCCAACCTAACCAGACAGGATACTGGGGTTTCCTTGCCATTGTGTGTTCTACTTTCACAGACCAACTCACATGCAGTAAAGTAGCTTGGAGGATGGATAATGCTATCTGCAATAGAGCTATTAAACCACACCTAAACTTTGGAAGCTTGGTTGGGTCTTCCTAAACCAAACTGTTGCCACCCAGGAGGTTTGTTAGTATGGGAGTAAGTAGGCAGGTGCTACTTTGGAGGAACCTATTGCTCTCTGACCATTCTGGTGGGAAGGCTGAGACACAACGTAAGTTGAAACTTGAATCTAATGTATCTTATTTTCAAGTGCATAAATCGAACACCCCACATTTCACTTCACAATCTATGTGGCCTTAATTCCAGGAAGACCCTGAAATGTCTACCTGCTGCTTACTTCCCTGTTAGCAAATTTTATGTTTCTCTTTACACTTTTCATGGTGCCTTATTGCAGAGTTCTGATCGACAACCTGCAGGCTGCACTGGATGCCCAATTTGACAGCAAAGCTCGTACTACCGGACACAGCTATGAAAAGTACAACAACTGGGAAACGGTAAAGTCTAGAAGTTTACCATTTTATCAACCCCTGTGCTCAAAATGGCTTCTGATATGCTTCCAGCCTTTTTCCCTTTTCTTATTCTGTTGCATACATTAATACGATAACTCCTTTTCCAAACTCTCCTTCCTCTTTTTCTTTATTGCTCATTACTTGGGTAATCTGTATAACCAATGCCCCTACACCTATTTCCTCTATTTCTGCTCCCAGCGCTGTAAAGAAACTGTCAGAAATCCAATGACCAGCCTGATGTGCTTCACTACTAATTTGTTTTTCCCTTTTCACTCCTTCTCTCATCTCCTCTGCTAAAACACCTGATTTCTTTCCCCGTCCCAGTTCTAGCTCTTCATCTTCCACAAGTCTCGCCTCCTCCCTGCTTTTGTCACAGCCATGCTTATTTTTCCTGTCACGTAATCTTGACCATGTCACTCTTCACATCTTTGCAGTGGCCCCTTACCATGCACTGCATCACAGTTCTTACACTTAAAAGTATGACAATCTCCCTTTCAAGCCTTTCCTTGCAAAAATATTTAATTTTTGTGATGATCATTGCCCACTAAGCAGCCGTTACATTTTCAGACAAGAAAATGTATTTCCTTTCCAGGTGGTATCTATAAAGCATATACAGAAGTAATCTATTTTCTTCCACCACAACTCTCCTAAGAAACAACAGAAATAAAATTCTCCTTTTACAAGGCTATTTAAAAATAAGAACATCTCTGACTCTGTAAAGCTTATTGGCATACAAAAAAAACCCAGTAACATCCATAATGTTAACCATTATTTCCAGTATTTCCTGGCCAGTTTGTCTAGATCTGTCTGCTGCTTCCTGTATTTTTCTTAGTTTCTAGATAGCTCTTTGGGTATGAAATGTTTTTTTTGTGTGGATGTGACAACATTTTTTGTGAGCTTCTGAAGGCAACTGTAACAAAGGGAATCTGCTCCAATGTTAAGATAATAAAGGCTATTATTACTTCCCTTAAATAATAAATAGAATTAAGGAGATATTAATTCTTTTGTATCTGGCATTTGTGGACTGTTCCTACAAATCCCTGCCCAGAACTTCTGTCAGTAATTCAAAAGTGATGATGAATAAAAGCCATACACTGAAAACATTACAACATATAGAAGATTTAAGGCATTCCATCTATTTAACTTAATGAGAAAAAGTTTTCTTTTGTTAGAAGAGTTTTAGGGGTGACAAGGTTAGAAGTATATAGGATCAGCATTCAAAGGCTATTGTAATCCAGTAGCCATACTCCAATGACAGGTTTAGAGAAATTCATGCTAGATAATCTTAATTCAGCTCTAGTACAAGTTGTAATTAATTCTTGGAAATCTACAAACTATTAAATATGAGGTCAAGTTACACACTCTGGCTTAAAGTCTGTGAATTAATTAGCCTGGACATGAGGAACAGAGGCAAAAGTAAATTTAACCTCCTTACTGAACAGATAGCTGCTTGGACTGCTGATATTGCTGCTCAGAACCCAGACCTTGTCTCTCGCAGTGTAATTGGGGAAACATACGAAGGACGGTCAATTTACCTTCTCAAAGTAAGTGCTTAGATTTCTTTGTGCCAGGCTTCTTCTCTGTTAACCTCCCAAGATTCTGATGTCTATTAAACCACCAATGATGCTAAGCTAGTATTATATATTTTGCAGAAAATATAACACCTTTTAAAAGGGGCATAATGAATTATTAGAAGTTCAAACATATAAATCCAATCAAATTCCTAAGAGCTGTTTGAATGATCATCTACCTTTATGTTCTCTCCATCTGTTGTTTTGTAAACACATTTACCCTGAAAGGATCTATAAATGTCAGTCTTTCTAGCAACAGGGAACAAATTTGTTTGTATCTTCATGAATGTAATTCTCTGCTGGTTTTAGCTGGGGTAGCATTAATTTTCTTCATAGTAGCTGGTATGGGGCTATGTTTTGGATTTGTGCTGGAAACAGTATTGATAGTTCAGAGGTCTTTTAGTTATTGCTGAGCAGTGCTTACACAATCAAGGCCTTTTCTGTTCCTCACACCATCCTGCCAGCAAGCAGGCTGAGGGTGCATAGTAAGTTGAGAGGAAACACAATCAGGACAGCTGACACCAACTGACCAAATGGATATTCCATACCATACGGCATCATGCTCAGCAATAAACTAGGGGGAAGGTTAGCTAGGGGGGCTGCCACTCAGGGATTGGATGGGCAATTTTTTTCATTTGCATCTCTTGTCTTCCTTGGGACTTATGGCTCTCTCATTGTTGTGTTTGTTGTTTTTTTTTAATTTCCATTATTAAGCTGTTCTTATCTCAACCCACAAGTTTTCTCACTTTTACCCTTCCAATTCTGTCTTCCACTATCCTGCCTTGGAGGGAGTGAGTGAGTGGCTGCATGGTGCTTAGTTGTTGGCTGAGATTAAACCATGGCTATTTTTTTGGTGTAACTCTTGTGAATAAATAAGGTGCAATGACTTAAAGGTGAAAGGATAAAGATTATTTGCCCAAAATTGCATAAGCATTTATAATAATCATTCAAGCAAACAAGATTAGCTCTTAGAGACAGTACAATAAGTCAACAGTGCAGAATAATCAAATAATAGAGCAAAAAGCATCTCTACATTAATAAAAATTAAATTATTAAGAATCTATTGTTTTAGCTCAAATCATGGTCAGCTACAGATAGAGCATCCTACAGGTTTCAATTTAATCAAGGAATGCTGTATTTGTATAAATTTTGACTTTTTAGGTCAGGAAGCTGACTGACTTGTTCTGCATACGAATTATTTTGTTTAATACCTGTTTGGTTTTGCTGCTGTTGTGTGGGTTGGTGGTTTTTTGTTTGTTTGTTTTTTTTTGTTTTCTAGGTGGGAAAAAGTGGTCCAAATAAGAAGGCCATCTTTATTGATTGTGGTTTCCATGCAAGAGAGTGGATCACCCCTGCTTTCTGCCAGTGGTTTGTGAAAGAAGTCAGTGAGCTTAATGATGAAAAAACAATTTTAAAAATGCAACTGTGTTTAAAAAAAAATCTGAAGTGAGCAGTAGGAGTGAGGCCACTGCAGATTAACTTTTTACCTCTAAATACCTATCTGCACATCATATGGTTAGGGTGTATCTACTTAAACCAGATCTTAATGGTTGGACTTGTAATCTTTCAGTAGCTTAAGACTACCTAAAAGCATGTGTAAGAGACAAGCAAACAGGTCAAGTAATGCTATAAACATAGTCATGTTCTCTATATAAGGAGAATAAGGAAATTCAAGGGGACATCAGAAAGCACCTGAATGCACATTAGAACAGCCATCTTCCTACAGCATCAGGTGCTGTATTATACCCTGCAACCAGCTTTACTCTGAAAGGCAACAGAGAGGGTGGAAACCTGCCCTCAGCTAAGCACAGAGTGCACTGAGCAAATGTACCCAAAAGAGGAGGAAGACAACTATATATGAAGCTTCCTAAATTTCACTCAGGAAGAGGGAAATGCATACACATCCCTTTGAGCTGCCACTTCAAGTTGCATGGAATGGTGAAACCATATTTAGGACAGAACTACACAGGTAAAAGTACCTTCACTTCAGGCTGGGATAGTTTACGCCTTGAATTAAGCGATTTTATCTCTTTTGTGTTTTCCTACTCCTCACCACCAATTTAAAGCAGGTGGTGAGGAGAGATTGGTTTTGTAGAAAAAAACATGCAGCATGCTGCATAAGAAGAGGTATATTCCCCCTCAGTGGGGGGAAGATCAATCAACTTAGCAGAACAGTTTTCTGGCTGAATCTCAACTTTTTTAAGAGTTCCTGCCTGAAGAGTGAAAAAAAAAACCCCGAAAAACAACACCTACTAAAAGAACCCAAACCAAACAACAAACCTGGAAACAGCAGCTTGGATTTAAAACCCAAGAAAAGGAAAGCCACATTACATGAGTGAGCCATGCTGGCAGAGGCATTTACTGGTGGCAAGTATAATCTCAGTCTTATCAGCTAGCCATGCGGTTTTGTGTAGGGAGCAGTGGAAATTGAAAGTGACATCTCAGTGGAGTCAATGGGAATGTGATTTCATTATCCCCTAATAAGGCTGCAGACAGTATGTGCTAACATTTTTCTCTTAGCAATTCACGTCACTACAGCTGTCATTTTCACTGTCTGGTCACTTAATTCATGGGTATACCTGACACCAGCAGTGGCTCTGCTCAGTGGATCCAAGTGTGGATAGGCAGAAGTGCTTTAAAAGTGCAGTCCTCTGAACGTCATCAACGGTTCACTTGGGATTGCTTCTAGACATCAAAGTAAAAAAAAACACCACAGAAAAACATGAGCGGGGTGGATTGTTATATATCTTCCCCCAAAACGAAGCAGGAAACAAACAAATAAGCAAGCAAACCAAAACCAGGAAAAAGTAAGTTCTAGTAATCTAAAACATCTTTTCTAGCTTCTACATATGACCTTCCCACTTGCTAGTGACAGGACAAAAGATGCCTTTCTCTATTGCATTGCTCCCTGTGTTGTCCTTTATGTCTGTGTAAAAGAAACAGAGCAAATTTCCATGATCACTGCATGCTCCCTCGCCACCGATATAAATCTGCAAACAAGCATACAAACACTGGGCCATGAACAGTCATGATATACAAGTTATGGCAAGAGTTATGGTTATTATTTGATGTATGTGTCTAGAAAAGCACAGGGAAAAATCTGTCTCCTTATGAATATGTGCATCCACAGCATTATGACTGGCAATGTGTAAGGATGTTCTTTGGAAGTATTCTCTATAATTCTGGTTACTGCTGAAAATTTTCTGCAACACAGATATAAAAAAATATTTTTTCCTTCTCACATAAATTAAATCCAAACCTCTAAGGTGACAGGATGTAGAGAGAATATATGGACAGAAACTTCGTCTGTAAAAAAGAAACTAATAGACAAAAATCTCTGTTTGGTGAATTTTTATCCTGCTCAAAATCGACATTGCCTCACCATATAATTTATCTATGAGAATGAGATGGCTTTGTAACAGCAGTGTGGTTTGAGTCAGTGTAAATCCTTTAAATATATGTAATACCAGAGAGCTGCCATCTCATGTGGTAGAGTGACCTGGATGACTTTGACCACCACATTCATTAATTCCCAATTTAGACCCAGGCCTTTAAATCACATGGAAGATACAGCTCTATGAAGGCATCATAATCTTTTTCTACTTTTCTCTAACTTCTCTAACTTTTCTCTAACTAGGCTGTTGAGACCTATGGAACAGATACTGTCCTGACCACACTTCTCAACAGCTTGGACTTCTATGTTTTGCCTGTTGTCAACATTGATGGTTACATTTACACTTGGACAAACGTAAGTACATTCTTCTTTCTCAAGAGATTTATTGCTGCAAAAGCCGACTGTTAGAGCACTTTCTTAGTTTTGATCTGTGCTTCACCGTTCTATTTCAGGACCGCATGTGGAGAAAGACACGCTCTAAAAATGCTCGTAGCCTTTGTATAGGGACAGATCTCAACAGGAATTTTAATGCTGGCTGGTGCAGTAAGTGTCTCCTAACAATAGCTGCAAGTGATCATAGGTGAAATAACCAAGATAATTAATTATGGATTTTCCCTACCCTGTGGTTGGTCCAGCTCAAGCTTGAGTGAACACTACCAGTATAGCATTGTAGAGTAGCTTGTGTTCAATTTTTTGAGTAGTCTTGGGCAAAAAAACAGACTTTGGTTATTACTAGCATCATCGGTATGGCTACTTCTATGAACATATATATACACACAAATGAGCATATATACGTATACACACACGTCTACACACACATATGCATGTATGTATATATATGCACACACACTTCTATGAGTTCAGAACAGAAACCAGAATAGTTTTCTTTTAGTTGGTTTCACTAGGTGGAGAGGGGTCTCTTTTGAGTGGTTTCACTTGGTTGCTTCCTGGAAGCACCTGAGAAATGGGGGAGATATGTTAAGTACTGAAGCAAATCAATATCCCAAATCACTTACATAACATAGGGCCTTACATCAATATACATGTTCTTCCAACTACGCACACTATACAGGGCATATTTATTCAATGCTGTCATGTTGCCCAGGGTCTTAACTATGCAATAAAACATCCTTTCTGATATGGCACGTTTGTCAGTAGGATTTCCAAGGCTTATCTACAAAAGCGGTGTAACATGACTCTCCTAACAACAAAATTTTGTCATTAAATACTTAATAAATTCAACTTCCTTCCCAGCACTTGGGGCCTCAGACAACCCCTGTGATTCCACTTACTGTGGCTCTGCACCTGAGTCTGAAAAGGAGACCAAGGCTGTGGCTAATTTTATTCGTGAACACCTTTCTACAATCAAGGCATACTTGACGATTCACTCGTATTCCCAGCTGCTACTGTTTCCTTATTCATATACTTACAATTTACCATCGGATTATGAAGAACTGGTAAGTCTCTTTCTTTGTCATTTTGACATAATGGAAAGAGTAAGAAAAAAAACATCACTTACTATTTAGGTCCATTTAACTTCAAGCAAATCCTTTAACATCTGGAAAGAATCTGTATTGCCAGTTTTTGAAAATACTTCAGTCTTTCACAGCAAGAACAAGGGAAAACCATGATGGCTTCAAGATAGTTTAAGCACAGGAGAAACTTAAGAGACTTATTTAATTTCCCATACAAAATGAATTTTCCACAAGGTCAGGTCTGTCTTCCAGTCATGCTATACAGAAATCCACTATATGCTGTGCAGCACTGCTTCCTCCTGACTCAAGAGGTGGCTGTGTATGTAGCTTTAATACATTATATAGAAGAATTATGCCCTATAAGTCAAGCTAACAGCTTGAGAGACTGTAATAACTATGAAATGACTTGAACTGGTATCCTTAAAAGCTGATAAGGATCTCTGTTTACCACTTCCTACCCAACCTTAGTTCTCACTGAAGTAAAATGGTGAAACTCCTGTTGATACAGGTTCAGTACAACAAAGCAGTTTTTGTCAGAAGTGTAACTAAAAACAGATTATAAAACAGCTAGTTTAAGAACAGTTAGGTAAAATGTTTCAGCTCTGAGGCCTTTCTAAACAGGCCTTGATTCAAACACACCTTTTATTTGGAAGAGGAAAGGATGAATGTGGTGTTTTGAAGGACAACAACTCTTTTATTCACCCCAGAGAAAGGCCATGCTCTAATGCCATTTAAGTAAGATAATAGTCTGGAGAAAATACATATAGATATATATGGTGAGGGTTTTTTATCCTTAAAAAACAGAATGTCTATAAAAGTTGTAAACATTTTATAAGGCCAGAAATCAACAATGAATAATAAAATTACTTCATTTCTCTGGCATATTAGCAATTAGAAGTTGTTGGCAGGGAAAACAACACAGCAAGACAAAACAAACAAATCTTGATTCCCCCTCTTTCCTGGATGTTGCCAAAAGTCCAAGGCAACAACACAGAGTGTTGATCTGCTGTGCAGGTTTGACAGATTTATGAGTGCTCCCAAGTAGATGTCTTGATTCTGAAGCACAAATACAAACTGGAGCCAACAGTGAAGTTTCTTGCTACATTTTTTTTACATATGAAAAGAGAGGATTAAATTAAGATGAAATTTTGCTTTTTTAATTTATATTTGAGAAACTTTTTAATTGTAATTATTCCAGGGAACTGTAGTAATTTCTTATCTTCAATTTTTACAAAAGCTTCACAGTTTACACACTGCAGTTCAGTCTACAGTAATAAAATAACACAAAACTCTTGAAGCTGCTTTGTTGTCAATATCACAAAGTTCCCATGTGTTAAAGATTTGCATGACATTCTGCCCAGTTTTTTGAATCACTAGCAAATGTGATGAAACATAACTAGAAGTACAGCACGTTTCTCACAGTATTAAATGAAAAAAGTTTACATTGATAGCTCATTATTAAAACAAACCTTAACAATGAGAAAGAACCTATGTGCTTTGCAAGGTTTTCAAATTCTTTTGTTAAATTAAAATTTCAAACTAGCAAGATTCTATTCTAATACACAGTAAAATTTAGTGAATCACCCATACTAAGGTTCTACAACTGTTATCAATAAAAACTCTCTTTTCCTGCCATAGAGGACAATTCTGCTGTTACCATTCAGCATTAAAAAAATATAGCTCAGGAATGCAGGCTATATATTTCCCTTCAACCATTTGATTTCACTTTTAAAGTTAGTCTGTCCAACATCACTATATCCTATATTTTAAACCAGGCAAAATGATTTCAGAGGGAGTTCCATTATTTTCTACTACAAAGTAATCACAAATCTCACAATCACAATAAGGTGACCTTATGAGTGTTTTTCATGTATTAATTGAGGGGAAATATTTCTTCTGTTGGTGATCCCAACAAAAAGATAGCAGAATCACAGAGCTATTCAACCTGCGCGATATTTGATTTTAACGTAGGAAGACTTCTTGCCAAAAATGCTTCTTTTGGAGCATGAGATCAGAACATCACCCAAACAACACTGCTTGCAGTTGTTATAATTAAAGAGAAAGAGCCTAATTCATTCCAGTGTCAGTCAATTAAATAGAAAGACTGACTTCAACAGGCTCTGGGTCAGGTTCGAAAGTGCAGCTTTTCAGGTTACTTTAAATAAGTAAAACATATTCATTTAAGCTGCAACTAAAGAAAATTTAAGATTTTCAAATAACAACTGCACTTGCTTGAAATGAGACAGCTACAAAGAGAGGTATTATTTTGTATTCCAATTGTCGTGTTTCATGACTAAAAGTTCTGTCTAGATTCAGAATTTAGAAAAATGCTGAAGAATGAGAATCTCAAATTTTAACAGAAATCATTTAGGCAAATAAAAGGATCATAAATATTTTTTCTATTGAGGAAACAAAATTTATAGTGCTATTATCTTATCTCAGATATTATTTTTACCCTGACAGATTTAATAAATTAAAGGAAACATAGTTGTGATTTCTTATCTTTTTCTTATCTTTCTTATCTTTTAAAGAAAAACCTCACATGTCTGCTTATCATTAACAAGATTTTTTTTCATTGTATTTAATTAAAGGTAGCACGATAGCATGGGGCTTAAGCTATATTCCAGTGTCTGAGATAAAGAAGGGCACAAAAACTGAGTAATTTCATATTGAAGTCACTAAGTCTGCAGAAAAGAAGGATCTAGCAAATGCTTGTAACCTTCCTTTCCTGCAAGCATACTGAATAGCATGTCCTTAGGGCTCAAAAGATTTTATCTGTTCACAGCTTCAAGAAATCACCAGAAAATATAAAACCATTCTGGATTTGGTTTCTCAAGTAGAACAGAATCTGAGAATCTGAGACATGCTTTATGTTCCACTGCATTGCCATAGAACAACCTCCAACTTATTTGGTGTTGGGGATTAGAACTATCCCTCAACCACCTCCAGCCTTGGGGTGTAAAACATGATGAAAGTCATGTATGTCTCTTCCTTTCCACAACTTCCAACTCTTCTTAGATGCAAGAGGATCTCTGAGGATTTAAACCCCACAACTCCCAAGGATTTTCCTAAAACTTTTCTCCCTTTATTCAGGGTTGTCATTTCCCACCCCTGTCCCAGGGGTGTTGCACAAAACTTTCACTGTTATCCAAACAATACTTGAACAACAAAAATAAAAACACCCAAGACAGAAAAATCTAGGTCAGGAATTTCTCAGAAGTTACACAATACTCTTGTGATGACACCCTGAAAGAAATATGTACTCCTTTTGGTGAATCACATTTTGCCTCCTTCATAATCCTCTTGACTCATTCTTTACTATACCCCGGAGTGTTACCCTGCACACAGAACACACAGTTGAATCCATTTCCTACAGAGAACAGAAGCATTAGATTTTTTAAATTAAAAACCATGCTTGGCAAGACCAGTATCTCTCCACACCTCAAAAACATTATTTTCATCTTTATTTTACTACCCACATTTTCGTCCTCTTGCAATAAGATATTCTGCATTTAATTGCACTTGTCATAAACAGTTCATTTAATTGTATTTTTTAATCAGTTCATATCCTGGCCTTAGCTTCCTACTAGGTCACCCTATGCTTTCCTCATTTTCAGCTTTATCTAGCTTTATCATTTCTTGTTTGTATTTAAATTGGCTCTGAACTATGGTTTGATAGAGCAGAGGAATGTGCATTGTGCCCTTCCTTCCTTCCTTTCCAGGTTCAATTCCACCTCTCAGTTAAACAACAAACTCGGTACCAAATACATGTCTGCAGCCAGCTCAACCTCATTGTCAGATTAAAGTATGTGTATTATTTTACTTTAGCAATCTGCAGAATATTGATTTACAACCCAAAATAATTTTCTAGATACAATATTTCAGCTTGTATCATTTTAATGCATACTGGCCACATTGTTTATTGTTTCAGCTCACCAAAATTCACCTTTCGCATCAGGTTGGTCTATCATTTCATTTCCTCTTGAATGCTTAAAATAGGATATGGTAGAAAGCTGAGATATGCCCAGAGTCTGTACAGCCTGCAGGAAGACCGAATTTCAAATACATTGCATAAATTCCTGATTATCAGTCTGATTACTTAACCTGACACCTGGGAGCAAAGTCCTAAATGTCTTTTAAGACATATGATGACCTCTTGGTAAGAATTTTTGAAGAGGAAAAATCCTAAGAGAGTCAGACATATCAGTGAGGAGTTACAACCTATGCTTTTGTTGTACCTGTCCTGTTGCAAACTCCTGTGATTATAGTATTTGTTATAAGTGAATATTGTTAAAGTCAACTGGGAAGCGCAACAAACAGGAAAGTGGGCAGAAAAGCATCATTTGGAATTGGCTTCACAGCTCCTCCACCAAATGTACCACAACAGATATCCACAACAGAACTGTTCTGTACTGACAGTCTTACAATTATGAAAAGGATGGGGTTTAGTAGTAGCATCTTTCAAACACAGCTCATGTATGAATCAGGCTGAAAGACAGCAGTCTCCAAAGAGGTGTAGGGCACAATCACCTTAAGTCACACCGGAAAGCCTCTCACCTGGGATTGCTTTCTTAAGCACCGTGAGACTGCCACAAAGAAACAGACTTGCAAAGAAAAAAAAAGTTTCATACTAAAGTTCTCCACCTGGCTGGATTCCCTGGACTCCTGGGGGACATGCTAAACTATGAGCAACAACAGAATAGTGAACTAAATTGTACATCAGTCATGGACGCTTTGGAGAGGAGTCTGTTTTATTGGCAAAACAAGAAGCCTCAGAAGTTTAGCT